TTTGTTCTTCTTGCGATCGACGGTGGATTTTGAAACACCTGTTGTCTTCACAATGTTTTCAATCGATTTTACTTTAAGTATAAGTGATCTGACGTTTTTTTGCTTGTCTTGGCTAAGTTTGTAAGGCATAATTGATGATTACAAAAAAATATCTTGCTATAAACAAAGAAAAAGAAAAACCCTTAAAAGGGATGAATATTTTATGTAAAATGAGATGAAACGGCTCATATATAGTAGGCAAATGTTTTGTAATTATGTATCTGTGGTCGATCACTGAAAAAAGAGAGAAATATTTAATTATTGCTTCGAAACAAAATTTAAAAAATGCGTAAATATTATTTAACAAACAATGACTGCATTTTGACTAACAATATTTGTTACAGTTTTACGCATTGTAATTACGTATCTATCTGTTTTTCTTTCAGATTATTTTAACCATTTTGAAAGATCTGCAACGGTTATTAGTTTTGTGAATCGGTTTTGGTCCGCACAGTACTTGTAGCACCCTAAAAGCCAACTCAACTTCTGTTTTTTTTACTTATCATAAATACATAGTCGACATTCCAGCTTGTTATCTTTGGCGGACGGACAACACGCGGTGCACTCATAAAACCAAGTGGGTCTAGTTAACTCTGTTAATAGTTTTATTACATACACCAGGACTAGAACCAGTCTCTAAAGCACTCATACCATTAGAGCAGCATTTGACTATACTAGTAGGTCGTAGAATCAAAGATGCGAGGCGTGTTTCGAACATAAAAATGTTTCTGTAAACGTTATGGACAAAATGTTATGACTTCGTACAACAGTGATAATAAGCTATACATTTTTTATGAAACGCTTTTAGCCCGATTAACAACCTAATAATAACAAAAAACAGAAAAATAAAAATGTTTCCAAAATGTCCCTATGCTATCGAAATGTGATTTCTTTTCAAAATATCAAAAAGTCAAATTGTTAGGAAACTTTGGAGGGCTCTGTGTACACGTTTTTCAAATCCAACCCAAGTTTAAGGATATTCTCATATAATTTGCGTGTTATCTTAATTGTGAAACCAACTCCGATAATCCGATGCAAGTTTAGAATGCATGAAACATTCTAGAACTGTTTCTAATTTTTTGTAATCCGTTTCGGCTGTTAGTTAAATGTAACCAGAGGACCCTAAAGTGACAGATCTGAACAGATAACGGACCTGAATTTTCGGAGGTATCGCATAACGACGGATAACGGACCAGAGTACCCTGAAGTCAACGGATTTTGAGGGATAACGGACCGGAGTACCCTGAAGTGAACGGATTTTGAGGGATAACGGACCAGAGTACGCAAACGTATTGGATCTTGACGGATAACGGACCAGAATTCCTAGTATTTCTGATTTAGACGGATAACGAACTGGATTTACCAAACTATAGCCCCACTAAAACTCTTATTCGATGGATTACACATGTTCTGAAAAATGTTTTCTTTAGCTGCTTATTTGTATTTGGTAAAAAATTGACTTGAGTTTCATACGATGTTTTGTCAAGGGCAAAAACGTTAGAGTCTAAATCTTGCAATTATAGATTTTCATCCACAATAGCCGCGTCAAAATTGTTTTGTTAGGATAATTATAGAGTTTAATTTTGACCAGACAATTACCGGACAAAGATACTTTATTGCGTCGTCTGTCCAAGTTGTTAGTAGAGTTAAAATATGATATTGTTAGCAATTTTACCACAGGGATTTCAATATTTGGTTTTAAGTTACTTCAATGACTATTTCTCTTTGTTTAAAAATCTTCTTTGCATTGTTAAAGATCCTTTTTAACAATATAACCCAGTTCATCTTAGAATGACCAACAGTCTTGACCTGGTGGGGACGAGTGTTGCGGAGGCACAAGAGAGTGCGTTTGCATTGATTTGAGTTTAGGTCAGCAGCAATGTTGGTACGAACCTCATTGGTGTCGAAAGAACATTGGTTTGTCGAAATGCGCGGGATCTAGAGGATCAAAAACCTTGGTGACATTGACTTTGGATATGTTCATAATGTTGGTGAATACAGGAGTATACAAATCGTGTACAAGAGCACTAAGAATACCATTGGCAAGAAAAATGATATCGATGATAAGACCTGTGTCAACACCAGCTAACTTGAAACGAATGTAGATTTTAGCGCTGGTGATCTTTCCATTTCTGACAGTATATACATATTAACAACCGTTGGGTTTGGTGGGAGCTTGCTGGAATTGATTGCAACCTTTTGGGCCATGGTTCAACCAGGCTTACTGGGGGAGTCTTTTGGCCTAGAAGTGGCCTTGATAGTGCTAAGAGCTGACGAAGAGGGAAATGGCTCACTGCAGATGCTTCCATTACTTGCCCGATCACTAAGTTGATCGACATCAATGCTGGAATTAGGTTCTTTTTTGTTTTTCAGGCTGGACTTGTAGATTGACGAACATTGCGGCTTGATCTGAAAGTTTGTTTTCAAGTCCCAAAGTTGAGACTTTTAATATAATCCAATCTTGTATGATAGCTTTCAGTGCAGTAAATTTAGCTTCGTATTCATCGAAGCGACGGATTTTGTCAGGAGCGGGGCGGGGCAAGAGCAAAACAGAATGAATTTTAAGATGAGGACAAGGCAAAGAGAAAATCTTATATCTATTAGTATTAAGATATATATAAAAAGGAATGAAGGTAGAGAAACGTTTATTTAGAGAAGCAGAAAAAATAGATAAGATCTTGAATACAGAAATAAGAATAAATAAACATACTGTTATTTATATTCATTGACAGATCGGGTACACAAGGGCTCGGGGATCAAATTTACAGAGACAGATTATTGGTCATATTGAGTTTGGGACATCTTTGGAGTAGCGGGCATAGATACAGATAATTTTGGGGATAGATGCAGAGGATATTATTAATGTTTTACACCGGAGTTCAAAGACAGAGGTACGAAGGAAACGGAAGTTAAATAGGTTTTACAAGGACAAGGGATAACGGAGATACCTTATTCGGAACAGAGACGTTAGACAGGAAACAATATTGATGTTTGACAGTTACATGTGTGACAGGAGACAGAGAACAGGGAAGAGGTAAATCAGGGACAAAGGGCTAGTTGGGTTTCAATAGTGGTCTCAGTCATTTTGCATGATAGCATACAACTGAAACCTAGGCGGTTCATGACAGTTTTATTCTCGAAGTTGCTTTTGCATATCCAAAGCAAATTCTGGTTGACAGAAGAACAGGTGTGTGCCACAAGGTAAATTAGGTTTGACATGAGGCAGCGAGGAGGTGTCGAAAGAAGAGCGGATGTCTTTACCATTAGCAATTTCAGATTCTTGTGATGGTTCCGAACTGTTGGTAATCCTTTTTGGAAGCTTGGTAGCAGCTACTAAAGTAACTGAGAAAACCTTAGGAGACGGGACGAGTTCGCAAGACGTAGCCGTGGCGAACTGGTTTTGACGCAGAAGCTCGGTCTTTGGGTAGGGACAGTAGTCTTAAAACTAGTGCCATTCGAGAAAAGTTTCAAAAAATCCCACACTTTTGAGGATGAAGCAGGAGCGTTTCCTCTAGCTCTAGCAAGGGATTTAGTCTTTGTCATTATCGTTGAGAATGTCGTAAAGTATATCAAAGGAATCATCACACTACATAATAATGAATGATCCTGTAAAAATATTCATCGCTCACGCGTTGACCCATTTATTATAATCAGAACCGTTTGTGTCTGTGCACAAGGTGATTCACCATTATTACTAACTTGTGTAAGTGAAAAGCGGTAACGTAAAATAAAGATAAAGAGTAAGATAAAAATTCTTACAAAATGAGCACCAGACTATAAGTTGTCAACTTGAGAAATTCGAGAGATAAAGCTACGAATTAAGAATAAAAATAAAGAAATTTGACGAAGTAAAATTACCAAACAGCAAAAATAAATTCAAGTCTTTATTATACAATAAATTGGGTTCTTTATATACATATTCAGGACTGGCTGAATATCAATCATTAAAGTGAAACCTGTCAAATATACAATAGGCGTATTGTTAATTAAAGATCGAGCATCGCATGGTACCTTCGAGAATCTTGTTATTGACGAGCGATCATATCATTGGATTGTATTATCTGGAATAAATGTATGACTATTGTTTTCGATATGTTGATGAGTAATCAATGCGTAGTAAATAGAGTATAATAGCATGTATTTGATTTAAAGAGTAATGCAATAACGATTTATAGAAAGGTTATCAAATAAGAAAGAAAAAATTGATGATAGAGTTATATCTGTATATAAGCTCGATCACAACACAACTAAGATAAAATAAAATTTAAAGATATAAAAGCAAAATACTACGACGAATCAGTTATCTGTGTCTCGGAAGGAGTATAGTAAAACATAACTGGTAAGACTATTCAGTGACAATTTATAAGAAGGACTTTCATACAATTATACTACTCACCGATACAGTTTTTCGGACGTTCAAAGCTTAATTGTTTTGGTTAATCTTAATATGGAAATCGTCGGGTTATAAAATTTTTTGTATTTCGGTGGAACCGTTTTTGCCAAAATAAAAATGGTTCAAATTGTTTAAAAATAATTATTGATTGGATAGAATTATAGACTTTAAATGTAGATTTTATTTAGAACAAATAATGGATGGCTTGGATGCCATGCAGCCTTGCCAGCCATTGAAAATCCCTTCAGGATGGTGTAAAAAATGCGTAAATTTAATCTAGTACTCCCAGAAGACTGTACGGCAGTATGCATTGTTCTATAGAGCATGTATAGCCAGATGCGTACAACAAACCTATAAAAAAATAGTTAGTAAATGATACTGGAATAGTAGAATAAAAATCACTTTACCTTATTTCTTGTGCCGTTCAGAGTAATCCGTATTTGACTAAAGAAGTATGGAAGTTAATGCATGCTATTTGTACACGAAAAGCAATAGACTTACCTCACTTCATTACGCGTTAAATCTGTTATAAAAATAAATTTAGTCCTCATTTGAACAAAAAAAAAGTGCTAGCAATATACCTTCCGCATAGATGGGTCAGTTATGAGTGTACTATTGAGCATAAAAGTGAAAAACTATAAGATAGATAGCTTTAGCGTTTATAAAGGGAATAAGAGAAAATAACTTACCGAGGTAAAAAGTTAAAGAAACGGAAAGAAAGACATGAAGAAAAAAAAAGAAGCTAAAAGAAAAATAACCTGTTGGAAATAGCTGTAGTTCAAAATTCTGGTCTGAACCTTTGCATATAAATCTCTAAGTGAAAAAAAAAACTATACCTCTATCTCTTTTACTTCCTGAATTATGAATACTCAACTTGAACAAAGCAATAAAACCGAAAACTCGTATCGTTGCGATTTCAATGAATGTGGTAAGCGCTTCCGGCATCCAAGCACCCTAACACGTCGTAAAAAATCACAAAAAATTACCGAAGCCTTCACTTTCAAGGCACCCATTACCCCAAGCAACACGGCATTCAGGCAGGTGAATGGACTAGAAGTTACTGCATTACCTGAATCGATTAGATCTACTCGCATCACTCTGGATCGTATGGTGTTTTATCAAGAGGATGAATCTGAATGCCAAGATTACAGTGACGAGGAAGACGACGAGGACGAAGATGAACCTTTTGATGAAGACATTGAATTCACTGAATCCATTGTTGATGAACCGGAAGCGGCAGTCAACGAAATCGAGGATCAAACACCCATAGTTGTCAACGGCGAGTTTTTTCCTTTCAGGGATAAGATACATCAATTGATGTATCAATTCTATTATCGGTCTGGGGGTGACATATCTCAAAGTTCGATGAAAGGTATTGTAAAGCTTGTCAAGGACGTCACTGAAGCCAAGGTTGCCTATCCCGAAGCCAAAGTACCTGCAGCTGATCTCATATTCAACTTTGATGATTCAAGAAGGACAAGAAACCAGATTCCCTTGCTCAGACAGACGAAGCACTACGTCAAGGTTCAGAAAAAGGTGAATGGTCAAGAAGTCGAAGAAGATCTCCCGTTCAATATGAATTCTCCCTCCGAAGTCTTGAAGCTGTTGGTTGCAAACCCTTCCGTCACTGATCATTTATCAAAACTTCCTGATCATACAGAGGGCGAGCTTGTTGATAGTTACCAGTCGAACAAATGGCGAACCCACAAGATGTTTCAACATCCAATGTTCTCTGTCAGAATCAACAATATTCCAAAGGATATCTGGGTTGGTGATCTGATCAAAACAGGTCAAACTTTTGTGATTGTGCAGAGGTTTTATACCTTAAAGCATTCAATCGTTATGGCTGAAAGTTACCAAGTTCTTCCCGTTGATGGTAGGTTATAGCTCCACAACATGCCCAGGAAAGTTTCTGTCGAAGTGAATCTCATTTCAAGCATTTTGTGTGATCGCCCGGAAACTTTGTCATTGGATTTCGAACGTAATGTGCTAGATGACTCGAATCTCCTTAGGGCTTCTAGTACCAATATTAGTAAATTGAAAGTGCCAAATCCTTTGAAGCGCCTCTTTCCTTCTTCTGCTCGTAAATTCAAGCCCTTTAAGGTTATTCCCCTGAATTTCTTTTCTGATGATATGAGTGGAAATCGAACCAAGAAACACAATAAGTTTGATAGCTGGATCATGGTACCCGCCGCTTTGCCTCTTGCTGAACGACATGCACTTGAGAAAACAGCCTTCATCTGTACAGATCATTTGCTGTCTGCAATGCAAATGCTTCCTGCTATTGTTGAAGATCTTTTGTTGTTGGAGAAAGGTGTAGAGATGTTTTTGCCTGGTGGCGAGGCTGTCGTTGTCGTTGCTCCGTTGCAATTTATCACTGCTGATAATGCGCGTCATTCGGAGCTTGCCTCTTGTCGCGGTGCTATTTCAAAGATGCCATGCCGAAAGTGTGTTTGGGAATTAAAAACCCCAGCTCGACTTGATGGCAGTGATTATCGTTGTGACCCTCGCTCTGGAAAGGTGGTTGCAGATATGTACGCGCGGTATTTGGCTTCTGGCGGTGACAAGACTTTGTTGATAAATGTCGATACTGGCTACAAACGTGTTGGTGGTCAGGCTCAGGTAGACCTTCAACCATTCGATACGATGTTGGATTGTCCCATCGAGCTCCTTCATACGATAATGCTTGGTGTCGGCAAAGCCTTGGTAAAAACATTGTTGCAAGACCATGTGAATCCAACCGAGAAAAGTATCCTCGAAACAAGATTGCATGGTTACGTTAGCAAAGGGTTCACCCGAAAGCTGCGTTCATCATTGCATCTTCATGGATCTTTCTTAGGTAGGGATTACAAAATCCTCGTTCAGCAAGTACCAATTCTGTTGAATCCATTGATCTTTTCTGGTGAAATTCGACGTGATGACGGTGTTCTCTTGATCAAGACCTGCTTTGAAAATTTGGGCAAGTTAGCTTCGCTTTCTTATATCAGCAAAATCAAGCATAAGTCTGATTCGTACCTGAAGTATGTGGAGTTCACTTACAATGATCTTCGTCTCTCCGTGATGGAGCATGATGCTTACATGAAACAAAAGTATCCTAGCAGAAGGGGTGGCTCCGTTTATAACTCCAGTAAAATGCACATCACGCATCATCTTGGTGCTGATATTTATTGATTTGGATCCCCAATCTTTTATAAAACTGAGAAGGGTGAGCAATTTAATAAATTCATTCGAGAGTGTCTGTTTCGTACCAACAGACATAATCCTTCAAGAGATGCCGCGGTTGCTTTTGCAAAGAGGTTGATGGCTCGACATGTATTGACTGGTGGTTCTTGGTTGGTGGCAGGTCAGGATTATCCAGTTAAAGCTTGAAACAAAGTCCTCGAGGTTGCTGTGTCCTTCAAGTCCACTATTAGAGACTTTGTTGATAATGATGATGATGACAAGACCATGAAAGTTGGCTCAACCGGAATTTTTCAAAACGGAAACAACCTCTTTATCGGCGAAGTCGTCAAAATCGATGCGTTGACTGGTGCTCCCACTATCGTTGAATACGCTCTTTGTTGTGAACGTGGACATATGACAAGGTTCGAATTTCTAAGCCAGTCCGACGGTTTAAACCTCTGCGTTTATTGTGTTTGCAACAAAGACAATGGAGGAAATCTTGTTGTTGAAAAGATGTTACGAACGAAGTCGACCTACAGAGAAACAGAGTGTCAGTTCGTGGAGATGCTTGATTTTTCAAGTAAGATGAACCCTCGTTTCAACTAAATCAACACCAGCAAGTTTGGCACCTTCTGGTGGGCATTGTCTCATAAAGTTAAAAATTTATAAAATTTGTCTTAATAATAATCATCATGTACATGTTAATTTCGCCATGTTATTTTTTTGCTTAGAAGTTTTTTTTTTTTTCGTTATTTCACTGGATAAAATGATTTTAAAAGCATAATTGCTTTCCAGAAGGGACTATCTACAAATTGAGCTAAGAAGATTTGGTGGGCTGGCTATTTTATTGGACGAAAGATTTTATTAATAAAGTTTACATTCGGATGAGGGCACCTTACTATATAAGTTGATGTGTAGTTTTACATGTCAATAATGAAACCATGCTTATATGGGCCGTTCCCAAGCAAAACGTTTTTCACGTTTTGGGAACAAAATTATTTCGCTCAAAATAGTAATTTAAACTTTTAAAAAAAAAATACCAGCCAAAA